CTCCTGAGCACAGGCATCATCATCTATTTCTGTTCGAAGCAGGCCTAAGTGTCGTCTTGCTTAGAGCCCCAGCAGCACACATTGACCCGCGTGCCGCCAATGCAAAGAAAAGCGAGATGCAAATATGGGCAGAGTCAAGATGGGGCTGAACATGAACATAAAACATGTGCGAAAAATTGAGAGCTGCTAACTATCTTCCATTCATTCTGTGTCCAAAATGTCAGCAGGGTTAACGAGCACAAGGGATTTAGTGGAGCCCCAGATGGGCACGCATGCTCCGCGGCTGTCCCGGGGAGGGAGACGCTGTGATCTGCTCGAGGGCACAGAGGATTGAAGTTGCAGGGCAGGGGACGGCACCTGGGCCTCTCGTGGGTTGCTCCACCGAACCATCTTTTATCCCCGACGTCTTTTCCAATCGGGCCCCACCATGCAACTGCTATTGCTCTCACGCAGGCAGAATAAAATCCCCATTCGGACATAGGAATGCATCATTCCTCGGGGAATATCACCCCCGTGAGCTCGGGGGTTTAATACCTTCGTGCAAAGGGCCCCGTTGTTCCCACAGCAGGATGCCACTTCCTGCAGCTGGATAAAGCCTCTCTCCGGGCTCTCGGCGTGAAGACAAGGCTGCAATTCTCCGAAGGGCCGTGCTGATGTCAGAAGCTTCCCACGCTTCGGCATACCAACATCAGCCCAAGTCCCACAGGGAATGAAAGCCATTTCACATCTGACCTGCCCTCATTTGAGCTCTACTATACGACTCAAATGTTACTATTGCTTTAATGTTGTTTGATTGTTTTTTTAATTAAAATGCTGAATGGCATGATAGTCCTCTAGCCTTCCCTTTGATGTCACTGCAAGGAGTTACACAGCCCGTTTCTGTAAATGCCAGAGTGTCCCCCAATGCAGCGAGGGCGTTTTGTGCGTACTAATAGTTCGGGATCTTTATCACCAAACTCTTTACGTAAGGGATGCTTTCACAGACAAAAGGGAAAAGGGTCTCCCAGCCAAACCCATAGCGGGATGCAAACCCCTGCTGTACGAAGACCAGTGTAACCGTGCATTTCCATGCTATCAGACCATCACCATCTCCTCTCAAATCCTGCCAGGGGCCAGGTCGTGTAATAACGAGTAGAAGGTCTGCTTAATAACGGTCGCCTTCATTAACTCCAGGGCTCGGTTATGTCACCAGCCAGCACTGGGTGAAATAGAAACCACCTGTGGCGTTGCAGCTATCCTCCCACCTCAGCCCGTCAGGGCAAGCCGAGAACAACTGAGCCACGTAATTTTGGGCAAATCAGACCATCTTTTAAACTTTCCTCACTAGCAACAGAGTTCCTCTGGATTCGCTTCTGCATTGGGTGCCACTAAATAGAAAAACCTGCTTGCTGGAAAACACGATCCGTGATGCAAAATGCTGCGAACACGACAGGGAACTCAGCGACTAATCAGGATGACTTAAATATGAAAAAAAAAAAACCCAACCAAAAAACCCCACCACCCATTGTACTTCGCTGCCCGTCATAAGTGCCAATAAACTCACATTAAGCCTCAGACACATTCTCAATGCTCTGAAATCACAGCCGATATTGCATTGCGACCTCCACATGATTTGGCCGTAGCAGGCCTTGGCAGAACGTAGTCGGGACGGAGAAGGTCGCCTTCTCGTCTCACTTCGGTGAGCTTTTCGGGTGCGAGAGAAGTCGCTCTATAAAGCATGATGGAATATGCCCACCGAATCAAGAGCACTTATTTATTTTGACCCCTTCTGTATCACTATGTGTTTCCCTGCGTATTCAAGGAAAATTGTCTTCCCATGAATACTTAAAGAAACCCCTACTTGCATCGGAGAATATTGACGGTGCATTTAGCACAGTTACCAATGGGACTACTTAAATTCACAACAACCACTTATAAAAAAAGATCTATACACTATTGTACTCGACAGCCATGGTCCCGTCCATGCTACGAATCCTGGAGGAAGCTGTCACCCTGGAAATCACAACGGCAGACTCCTAGATGGGTTTACAACCGACGGCACTGACCGGGAGAAATGACTATATGGCAACATCAAAGAGCAGTCAGTATTTGACAAGGAGCAGTGGTTTTATTTATACATGTGTGGGGGCGAGGGAAGAGAAGATGAGCAGTCCTTTGGCTCCTCTCGAGCATAAATCAGGATGACTGATAGTGGAAAACACCCACCTGGTTCTGGGAAAGATGTTGGCACCGACCCACCTTCAGGAACTTGTGCCCCCACACCAGTGACACATCTCACCACGTGTTTCATCAGCAAAGCAGCAAAGACCTTTCCTTTGGATATCACTCTCTCTTCACACCCAGCCTCAGTTTAACAGACCCAGCCTGGGGCTATATTAGCTCATGCTCGTGTCTCCAAGCCTTTGGCTGATAGTCATGAACCTTAGCATTGAGCAACAGATGCTATCCGTGGCCTCAATACTCGTAACAGCAAGTTCATCTCTTTGCAGAAGTTGCTTTAATTTTTTTTCCCCTCTTCCCAAATGAAGCTCATTCAACTCCACCCATTCCCTCCCCCCCAAGAAACATCTGTCTGGGCTGCTCGTCCCCGGGTGATGGGAACCGTCCGACATGCCCAGCAGAGACAGTAAATCAGGACCCAGAAAGACAAGCTGCATGTTGAGGTTGCTACAGGCTACGAGATCTTCACCTGGGCTCACCAAAATTCACCGTCTGCATGGTCCTGTGGTGAGAAGGCTTCGCCTATGACAGAATCATTGCCATGGAAACAAAGGTGACATCACAGGACCAGACAGACAGATACAAGACGGACATCGTTAGCAGCTGGCAGAACTAACGAAGAGATGTTACTAAGAAATGGCAAGCCAGGTCAATGTGTTAACTAAGATGATTTTTGTTGAGGTACTATTCAGTGCGAATTCCCATTTTTAAATAGATTTTAAAGACTAAACATGAGACGACTCATTTGTTCCTCTGTTCTTGACCCATGTAAACAAAACATGCCCCAAACTGTGTTTGGATCCACACCTGTTGGGACCAGCGATCCATTTAGTTTAGCTTGGAACGGGCGAGCGAGGAAAATCCCGTTTCCCCCGCCATGCTTCCTCCCATCCCAGCTATGTG